TCTTTCTCTATTATGCACCTCATACCCATCCCGTGGGCGGTGGTGTAAAGGATTACAGAGGCACATAATCGGTTCAGGAACTGAACCCTCTAGTTCGTTTAGCTAAGCAAATAACAATCTTTTGACGCTAGTAATAAAATTATTAATGTTATATATATACATTAACACCTATGCATACATGTACATATACATACGTATACATATATACATACACATACATATTTAATCACCCACACAAATACACACGTCAATAATCTTTTGTGTCACAAGTGATTCAACAAGAGGTTCACAACAGTCACTATACAAGGCACTTTACATCTATGATGAGTCACACAGTTACTAGTCTTGCTGCACACCCACCCAACTGGGCGGCAGCTTTACAGTCATGTGCTCCACACCCACCCAACTGGGCGGCAGCTTTACAGTCATGTGCTCCACACCCACCCAACTGGGCGGCAGCTTTACAGTCATGTGCTCCACACCCACCCAACTGGGCGGCAGCTTTACAGTCATGTGCTCCACACCCACCCAACTGGGCGGCAGCTTTACAGTCATGTGCTCCACACCCACCCAACTGGGCGGCAGCTTTACAGTCATGTGCATGCATTACTTAGAGTAAGCAAATTTTGGATACTTCGCTAAGATTTCGGGCAGCACTTCATTATGAATGAAGTACTTACACATTTCTTGGGCTCCATTGATGGTGTTATCTCTAAATTCTGCGATTTTTTCACATTTCCATTATATAATGACACAAAGTATGTGAATAGTTCTGCCGACAGAGTTTACATTTAGTTAAATCTACATCAGCAGTCCTCGACCAGGCCTCCTTTTTTGTTACACATCCCCAGGAAGCAGCCCGTAGCAGCTGTCTAACTCCCAGGTACTTATTTACTGCTAGGTGAACAGGGGGCATCAGGGTGAAAGAAACTCTGCCCATTTGTTTCTACCTCCACCGGGGATCAAAGCCGGAACCTCAGGACTATGAATCCGAAGCGCTGTCCACTCAGCTGGCACGCCCATGATAACTTTTTTACAAAACTAATTTGAAGGAGCGAGTTTTACCCTCTGCGACCCACCATTTAATTTGTTGATCTGATCTAATGTCAGGCTTTGCCCCCCTGGAGAGGACACTCCAGCCTAGATATCCAGAGCACAACTCCATAGTCTCCCAAGACTGCAGGATGCCACCTACTGCTACTACTAATACAGTGTCTCGTTGTTCGTTATGTCTTGTAATATCTATTTTTATGCCGCTGTGAGAAAGCTATGAGTAATGGAATTTAACTTCCTCACTCCTTTCACAAAGGAGGACGCTCTTGTGAATGCACCTGAAGTGTAGCGTAATATTAATTATATTATTTTAGCTTGGACGTCTATTTAAAGGGGTTTTCATAATATCATTATCTCTGTTTTGTCCTTATCTCTATTATGTGTCTAGTTAAAATAAGAATTGCATCCTGTCCCGCAAGACAAACGATATTATCACATAACTTTAGAAAAGTATTTACTAATGTGAATCAGGGATTTCAATCATCATTGAACCGTACACACAAGAAGCCAGTGTATCACTCAACTAATCAGATGTATTCTTGCTTAGCAAGAAAATGACCCCACTAAAGCTCGATTGTAGATTTAATTAATATTAAATTGATACCATTGAATTGATGGCAGGCAATACCAGTCCTCCCACGTATAATTAAATCAATTTAACTGTGGCCAGCAAATATGTCCCATGTTCTCAACTGACCAAGAACAGTCATTCAAGTATCTGCAGTTATTTCAGCAGATGGGTGCTTGCTTGAGCAATTTCGCTCAAGCAAGCACCCATCTCAGTGGTTCGCAAAAAAAGTGAGGAGCGTTATCTGATTACCCAATTTGATAATGGTTCAGGACGGACCGAAAAGTCGTCTTTTTTTGGTACTGATGTAGGGGTTTGGTCATCATATCTTCAGCGACTTTATGGGGACTCTTCGTCTACATGTGGTAATCATGTCTTACCAAAATCTTATGTCGTTTAGGGGTGTGAAGTTTAGTTCTGGGACTAGGCTGGTGTGAGTGTTCGCATGTGTGTGTGTGCACACCCGTTGTTTCATTGAGAGAGAGAGTGTGTGTGTATTCACCTAGTTGTGTTTGCGGGGGTTGAGCTTCGCTCTTTCGGCCCGCCTCTCAGCTGTCAATCAACTGTTTACTAACTACTTTTATTGTTCCACACCACACACACACACACAAACACCCCAGGAAGCAGCCCGTGATAGCTGACTAACTCCCAGGCACCTATTTACTGCTAGGTAACAGGGGCATTCAGGGTGAAAGAAACTTTGCCCATTTGTATCTGCCTGGTGCGGGAATCGAACCCGCGCCACAGAATTACGAGTTCTGCGCGTTATCCACCATGCTACGAGGCCCCCATGTGTATGTGTGTGTACTTACCTAGTTGTGTTTGCGTGGGATGAGCTCTGGCTCTTTGGTCCCGCCTCTCAACGGTCAATCAACTAATGTACAGGTTCCTGAGCCTACTGGGCTCTATCATATCTACACTTAAAACTGTGTATGGAGTCATCCTCCACCACATCACTTCCTAATGCATTCCTTTTGTCTACTACTCTGACACTGAAAAAATTCTTTCTAACGTCTCTATGGCTCATTTGGGCACTCAATTTTCACCTGTGACCCCTAGTGCGTGTGTTCCTTGTGTTAAAAAGTCTGTCTTTATCTACCCTATCAATTCCTCTGAGAATCTTGTATGTAGTGATCATGTCCCCTCTAATTCTTCTGTCTCCCAGTGACGAGAGGTTTAATTCCCCGTAGTCTCTCCTCGTAGCTCATACCCCTAAGTTCAGGTACTAGTCTGGTGGCAAACCTTTCAACCTTTTCCAGTTTAGTCTTATGCTAGACTAGATATGGACTCCATGCTAGAGCCGCATACTCCAGGATTGGTCTGACATATGTGGTACATAATATTCTGAAAGATTCCTTACATAGGTTTCAAAAGGCCGTTCTTATGTTAGCCAACCTGGCATATGCCACTGATCCTGTTGATATGAGCTTCATGACGACAGATATGAGGATTTGATATGAGTATCCTCCTATATGAGCTTCAGGAGACAGGTCTGGCGTGATATCAACCCCAAGGTCTTTCTCTCTCTCAGACTCTTGAAGGATTTCATCTCCCAAATGATACCTTGTATCTGGTCTCCTGCTCTTTACATCTATCTTCATTACATTGCATTTGCTTGGGTTAAACTCTAACAACAGTAACGATGTACAAGGTGTGTGTACTCACCTTGATGTACTCACCCAGCTATGCTTGCATGGGTTGAACTCTGGCTCTTTGGTCCCGCCTCTCAACCGGTGTACAAGTTTCTGAGTCTATTGGGCTCTATCCTATAGACATTTGAAACTATGAATGGAGTCAGCCTCCACCACATAACTGCCTAATGCAATCCATTTACTAACTAATCTGACACTGAAAAAGTTCTTTCTAATGTCTCTGTTGCTCATTTGGGTACTCAGTTTCCACAAGTGTCCCCTTGTGCGTGTAACCCTTTGGTTACATAAACTGTATTTATCTACCTTATCAGTTCATCGGAGAATCTTGTATGTATGTATGAGTGCGAATGATTGGCCCTTTATAAATGTTAATTAGTAATCTATTCCCCTCTGTGAGGTTCCTTCATCCCTCCCCACATCAGACAATTACTGAAAATGTAAAATGTTGCCCATGCTGATCATCTGTTAACGTGCTCCAATGGCTTCTGAAGACCACATGCTCTATTACCTTCCTTTTATTTAGTTATTTATTGCCAGCTGTACCCGGCCACGCGTTGCTGTGGCTCAGCAACGTAGCCACAGCAACCTTCCCCTGTCTTCCAGTCTTCCCCACCATTCTCCCCTCCCGTCCCCTCGTCCTCCTAACAATTCCTGACTCCACTGTCCCCCTCGTCTTCCCTACCGTTCCCCCTCCCCCCGTCCCCTTGTCCTCCCGACCATCCCCCACTCCCCTGTCCCCCTTGTCCTCCTCATAATTCTCCATTCCCCTGTCCCCTCGTCAACACCAACCCCAACTCGCCGTCCCCCTCGTTCTCCCCACCATTACTCCCTCCCCCCTGTCTCCTCACCCTTCCCAGCAACCCACACTCCCGTCCCCTCGTCCTCCCCACCATTCCTCACTCCCTCGTCTGATGCATTCCCAAATGATCTAACATTCCCATCACTGAAATATAAGTAAAACTGTTAAACAAATTAAATGAAAAAAACGATAAAACAAAAAAAAATAAACTGTACTCACGAAATGAACAATATGGTAAAAAACACAGCTCAATTCCAATGCAATGTCACACAAAATATTTAAATCAAAATGAAAATAAATCGAAATCTATGAAAATTTAATTTATCAATGAAATCGGAAACATTGAAATGGAATTGTTACATATTTAGTATAGCATGTGTTGCTCTTATGTGCCACAGATGGCGCTGTTTAAAAAAAGAAAAATGTTTTTACATGTCACAGGTGTGGCATCTATACTTATACTCACAAAATGAACGTTTTCAAAGCAATCGGTAAAAAAGTTTCGAAGATTTCTCTCACATGAAACACACAGTTTAAAAAACAAACACTTTTCTCCGTCACAGACGTGACATCAATATAGTGTGACTATAAAAACCCGCTCAGATGCGAATGGAACAATGTGTGAAAATTTCAAAGGAATTGGTGAAGAACTTTCGGAGATTAGCGATTTTGAACAAACGAACATTTTCATTTTTATTTATATAGACAAGAAGGGTACAGTGTGTAATGAGAAAACATAACATAGGTGTTCTTACATTCTTGCCAAGCCACTAACACGCATAGCGTTTCGGGAAGATCTTAAAAACGCTTTTCGTCCCAAATATATTAGCGAGGGAACACACTTTACAGTGCTCAGATAACTCCTGTTTTGGCCCTGTTGCTCCGTCGGATCCTGGGTCCTGCGTGATATAACTGAACTGGCACTTACCTGCCTAACAGTCTTGTCCTCGAGGTGTCTAGGACCCTGGAGGGAGCTTGCCAGACCGTTCACACTGCTGCTCTCCGCCTTCATCCTGCGGCAGGAAGGGGGAAGAGAGCGTTAGTTATTAAGATGGGCGATCCACCGGCCTGTATATGTCTTCAAGAATATTTCACATACGAGCTCTTGCTCATAAAAGGGGATTACTTCAGCGTTATCTCCAACGTCTCTTAATTAGCGCATATCTCAAAGGGTCTGGAAACTAGGACAGCATTCTCACAGTACCAAGCATGTTAACTGTTAACATAACACAAGAGTCTTTACTCACACTACTTAAAATAATACATTTATGAATAAAACATCAAATGCTCACATATATATTAAAAATAAATCGCGTTTCCTACAAACATTCGCAACATTGTGCGAAGACACGAAGCTAAAGGGACCACAGCAGCCCACAGACGAGGACACACAATATATATAACCCGCTCACATCTGTCCCTTGCCGGTGATGGAGCGCCTGGCGTTCACCATGTGGATGATCGCCAGGCAGATGGCGGCGTAGGCTGCGGCCATGACACAGGCGGGCACCAGCAGCACCAGCACCAGCATGTAGGTCTCGTAGCTCCTCCAGAGTAGCGGGGAGTCGAAGTCCCGCACGCACCAGTACGCGCGCACCCTCTCACCCACCTCCATGTGTACCTGGGTGACGGAGAGCACCATCACTTCTAGCGAGTATTTACTTTGGTAAATATTTTATATGTAGAACGTCATGAAGCTTGAGATACACCCGGCAGACATCAGGCCCTTCACTTCCCTGTGTACCAGTGTGGTGTATGTTGTTGGTGTGTAGTGTAGGAGGTGTATGTTGGTGGTGTGTATGTTGATGGTGTAGGTGGTGTATGTTGTTGGTGTATAGTGTAGGTGGTGTGTAGTGTAGGTGGTGTATAGTGTAGTGGTGTATGTTGGTGGTGTGTAGTGTAGGTGGTGTATGTTGTTGGTGTAGGAGGTGTATGTTGATGGTGTAGGTGGTGTATGTTGTTGGTGTATAGTGTAGGTGGTGTGTAGTGTAGGTGGTGTATGTTGGTGGTGTGTAGTGTAGGTGGTGTATGTTGTTGGTGTGTAGTGTAGGTGGTGTATGTTGGTGGTGTGTAGTGTAGGTGGTGTATGTTGGTGGTGTATGTTGGTGGTGTGTAGTGTAGGAGGTGTATGTTGGTGGTGTATGTTGGTGGTGTGCAGTGTAGGAGGTGTATGTTGGTGGTGTGTAGTGTAGGAGGTGTATGTTGGTGGTGTATGTTGTTGGTGTATAGTGTAGGTGGTGTGTAGTGTAGGTGGTGTATGTTGGTGGTGTGTAGTGTAGGTGGTGTATGTTGGTGGTGTGTAGTGTAGGTGGTGTATGTTGGTGGTGTGTAGTGTAGGAGGTGTATGTTGGTGGTGTATGTTGGTGGTGTGTAGTGTAGGAGTTGTATGTTGGTGGTGTATGTTGGTGGTGTGCAGTGTAGGAGGTGTATGTTGGTGGTGTGTAGTGTAGGTGGTGTATGTTGGTGGTGTATGTTGGTGGTGTGCAGTGTAGGAGGTGTATGTTGGTGGTGTGTAGTGTAGGAGGTGTATGTTGGTGGTGTATGTTGGTGGTGTGTAGTGTAGGAGGTGTAAGTTGGTGGTGTGTAGTGTAGGAGGTGTATGTTGGTGGTGTATGTTGGTGGTGTGTAGTGTAGGAGGTGTATGTTGGTGGTGTATGTTGCTGGTGTATAGCGTAGGTGGTGTATGTTGGTGGTGTGTAGTGTAGGAGGTGTATGTTGGTGGTGTGTAGTGTAGATGGTGTATGTTGGTGGTGTATGTTGGTGGTGTGTAGTGTAGGAGGTGTATGTTGGTGGTGTGTAGTGTAGGTGGTGTATGTTGGTGGTGTGTAGTGTAGGAGGTGTATGTTGGTGGTGTGTAGTGTAGGAGGTGTATGTTGGTGGTGTGTAGTGTAGGAGGTGTATGTTGGTGGTGTATGTTGGTGGTGTATAGTGTAGGTGGTGTATGTTGGTGGTGTGTAGTGTAGGTGGTGTATGTTGCTGGTGTATAGTGTAGGTGGTGTATGTTGGTGGTGTGTAGTGTAGGTGGTGTATGTTGGTGGTGTATGTTGTTGGTGTATAGTGTAGGTGGTGTATGTTGCTGGTGTATAGTGTAGGTGGTGTATGTTGGTGGTGTGTAGTGTAGGTGGTGTATGTTGGTGGTGTATAGTGTAAGAGGGAGGTAACTATCAGGGGAAAGCACCAAGCCATTACGACTATATTGCACTTGGAAGGGGTCAGGATAAGGATTTGGGATTGGGCGGAGGGAAAGGAATGGTGTAACGATGGGAAGGGACAGTGGAAAGGAATGGTTTAGAAGGAGGTTAAGACACTACGGTCGTCTTGGTGACACATAAATAAGGTGGTGTAATTATATTTTATATCGTTATCATTATTGTGTGATTATTTACACATTACAGCGTAAGCGGAGTACCTTATTAGAATTTAGTGTTCCCCTGCGCCTCCTTATCTCTTCCCACCACCGGTACATATAATACAATGCACCGACAGACAAACATAGCAGACATAGTCTCATCTGTCGTAAGTCAATCATAAAATTGCTAGACATGAAGCATTCAATGACATCGTAAAAAGACGTTTGGTTACAGCCAAGTCTCCTGCTGTCTGTTTGGCCGAGGATGGAGGCCAAGAGCTTGGCATTAACCTCACTAAAATTCCCAAAATGAATCATTTTTTGGCATATGTGTTATATGTCAGTCAGTGTCACCTCAAGTCAAATTCTTAAAGAAATAAAACAATTTATGGAGATCCGTCTTATGCAATTTTCAAGGAATCAACTCTGAAATATTGACTATGTCATAGAATGTTCAGCAGTGACTGTAACGCTTCCTCTTCATGTTTTTCCACATTGTCAAAGTTATGGAAGTTTTGCGAGGCGAGTGATGGGGCATAGAGCCCAAGTGTGTCTGTGTCAGGCACGATGGCACATGTGACCACAAGTTCAGAAGCTGATGATAGTCATTTCATCCCAAGAGAGAGAGGAAGCAAAGCTTATAGTTTCTAATATACTTATTTATTATATTTTGATTAGAATTTCTTTATATTTTGGTTATAGTTTCTTTATCGAATTTCTAACAGAGATAGAGATGGGAATAAGAAATTAATAAAATGGTGTAAGAAGTATCTGTGTTAAACATAGATGCTTTAGTTACACTTAATAATATTTTTACAATAATATCCACTTTCAGTAAACCATTCGTCGCTCGGTCAGTCAGGTTAAATACCATTGAGTCAGAGCTGTAGCTGGATCAGTGATCACTAGCACACAGCCTAGCCCAAGACGAGGACAACCTCATCAAAACGAGTGCTTCCAGTTGCTGACAAAGTACTGTTTACAGTACTCAACTACTCAAGTAGTTGAGTAGTTGAGTACAAATTCCGCACTCAACCACAAGTATCTCCTCGACTCTGCCATTTCACAATACCTGTAACCTGCACCAGGAGGGTGGGGCTCTCTTACCTGCACCAGGAGGGTGGGGCTCCCTTACCTGCACCAGGAGGGTGGGCTCCCTTACCTGCACCAGGAGGGTGGGCTCCCTTACCTGCACCAGGAGGGTGGGGCGCCCTTACCTGCACCAGGAGGGTGGGGCTCCCTTACCTGCACCAGGAGGGTGGGGCTTCCTTACCTGCACCAGGAGGGTGGGGCTCCCTTACCTGCACCAGGAGGGTGGGGCTCTCTTACCTGCACCAGGAGGGTGGGCTCCCTTACCTGCACCAGGAGGGTGGGGCTCTCTTACCTGCACCAGGAGGGTGGGCTCCCTTACCTGCACCAGGAGGGTGGGGCTCCCTTACCTGCACCAGGAGGGTGGGGCTCTCTTACCTGCACCAGGAGGGTGGGCTCCCTTACCTGCACCAGGAGGGTGGGGCTCCCTTACCTGCACCAGGAGGGTGGGCTCCCTTACCTGCACCAGGAGGGTGGGGCTCCCTTACCTGCACCAGGAGGGTGGGGCTCCCTTACCTGCACCAGGAGGGTGGGGCTCCCTTACCTGCACCAGGAGGATGGGGCTCTCTTACCTGCACCAGGAGGGTGGGCTCCCTTACCTGCACCAGGAGGGTGGGGCTCCCTTACCTGCACCAGGAGGGTGGGCTCCCTTACCTGCACCAGGAGGGTGGGCTCCCTTACCTGCACCAGGAGGGTGGGCTCCCTTACCTGCACCAGGAGGGTGGGGCTCCCTTACCTGCACCAGGAGGGTGGGGCTCCCTTACCTGCACCAGGAGGGTGGGCTCCCTTACCTGCACCAGGAGGGTGGGGCTCCCTTACCAGCACCAGGAGGGTGGGGCTCTCTTACCTGCACCAGGAGGGTGGGGCTCTCTTACCTGCACCAGGAGGGTGGGGCTCCCTTACCTGCACCAGGAGGGTGGGCTCCCTTACCTACACCAGGAGGGTGGGGCTCTCTTACCTGCACCAGGAGGGTGGGGCTCTCTTACCTGCACCAGGAGGGTGGGGCTCCCTTACCAGCACCAGGAGGGTGGGGCTCTCTTACCTGCACCAGGAGGGTGGGGCTCTCTTACCTGCACCAGGAGGGTGGGGCTCCCTTACCTGCACCAGGAGGGTGGGCTCCCTTACCTACACCAGGAGGGTGGGGCTCTCTTACCTGCACCAGGAGGGTGGGGCTTCCTTACCTGCACCAGGAGGGTGGGCTCCCTTACCAGCACCAGGAGGGTGGGGCTCCCTTACCTGCACCAGGAGGGTGGGGCTCCCTTACCTGCACCAGGAGGGTGGGCTCCCTTACCTGCACCAGGAGGGTGGGGCTCCCTTACCTGCACCAGGAGGGTGGGCTCCCTTACCTGCACCAGGAGGGTGGGGCTCCCTTACCTGCACCAGGAGGGTGGGGCTCCCTTACCTGCACCAGGAGGGTGGGCTCCCTTACCTACACCAGGAGGGTGGGGCTCTCTTACCTGCACCAGGAGGGTGGGGCTCTCTTACCTGCACCAGGAGGGTGGGGCTCCCTTACCTGCACCAGGAGGGTGGGGCTCCCTTACCTGCACCAGGAGGGTGGGGCTCCCTTACCTGCACCAGGAGGGTGGGCTCCCATACCTACACCAGGAGGGTGGGGCTCTCTTACCTGCACCAGGAGGGTGGGGCTTCCTTACCGGCACCAGGAGGGTGGGGCTCTCTTACCTGCACCAGGAGGGTGGGGCTTCCTTACCAGCACCAGGAGGGTGGGGCTCCCTTACCTACACCAGGAGGGTGGGGCTCCCTTACCTGCACCAGGAGGGTGGGGCTCCCTTACCTGCACCAGGAGGGTGGGGCTCCCTTACCAGCACCAGGAGGGTGGGCTCCCTTACCTGCACCAGGAGGGTGGGGCTCCCTTACCTGCACCAGGAGGGTGGGGCTCTCTTACCTGCACCAGGAGGGTGGGCTCCCTTACCTGCACCAGGAGGGTGGGCTCCCTTACCTGCACCAGGAGGGTGGGGCTCCCTTACCTGCACCAGGAGGGTGGGGCTCCCTTACCTGCACCAGGAGGGTGGGGCTCCCTTACCTGCACCAGGAGGGTGGGGCTCTCTTACCTGCACCAGGAGGGTGGGGCTCTCTTACCTGCACCAGGAGGGTGGGGCTCCCTTACCTGCACCAGGAGGGTGGGCTCCCTTACCTGCACCAGGAGGGTGGGGCTCCCTTACCTGCACCAGGAGGGTGGGGCTCCCTTACCTGCACCAGGAGGGTGGGGCTCCCTTACCTGCACCAAGAGGGTGGGGCTCTCTTACCTGCACCAGGAGGGTGGGGCTCTCTTACCTGCACTAGGAGGGTGGGCTCGCTTACCTGCACCAGGAGGGTGGGCTCCCTTACCTGCACCAGGAGGGTGGGGCTCCCTTATCTGCACCAGGAGGGTGGGGCTCCCTTACCTGCACCAGGAGGGTGGGGTTCCCTTACCTGCACCAGGAGGGTGGGGCTCCCTTATCTGCACCAGGAGGGTGGGGCTCCCTTACCTGCTCCAGGAGGGTGGGGCTTCCTTACCTGCTCCAGGAGGGTGGGGCTCCCTTACCTGCTCCAGGAGGGTGGGGCTTCCTTACCTGCACCAGGAGGGTGAGGCTCTCTTACCTGCACCAGGAGGGTGGGGCTCTCTTACCTGCACCAGGAGGGTGGGGCTCCCTTACCTGCACCAGGAGGGTGGGCTCCCTTACCTGCACCAGGAGGGTGGGGCTCTCTTACCTGCACCAGGAGGGTGGGGCTCCCTTACCTGCACCAGGAGGGTGGGCTCCCTTACCTGCACCAGGAGGGTGGGCTCCCTTACCTGCACCAGGAGGGTGGGGCTCCCTTACCTGCACCAGGAGGGTGGGGCTCCCTTACCTGCACCAGGAGGGTGGGGCTCCCTTACCTGCACCTGGATGGTGGGCCCCCTTACCTGCACCAGGAGGGTGGGGCTCCCTTACCTGCACCAGGATGGTGGGCCCCCTTACCTGCACCAGGAGGGTGGGGCTCCCTTACCTGCACCAGGAGGGTGGGGCTCCCTTACCTGCACCAGGATGGTGGGGCTTCCTTACCTGCACCAGGAGGGTGGGGCTTCCTTACCAGCACCAGGAGGGTGGGGCTCCCTTACCTGCACCAGGAGGGTGGGGCTCCCTTACCTGCACCAGGAGGGTGGGGCTCCCTTACCTGCACCAGGAGGGTGGGCTCCCTTACCTGCACCAGGAGGGTGGGGCTCCCTTACCTGCACCAGGAGGGTGGGCTCCCTTACCAGCACCAGGAGGGTGGGGTTCCCTTACCTGCACCAGGAGGGTGGGCGTAGCGAGGCAGCAGGCCGTCACCCATGTGATGACAGTGGCTCGCTTGGCCTTGCTGATGCTACACACATACATGGCTCTCATGGGGTAGATGATAGCGTAGCACCTGTGGAGGAGAGAAGGTGTTGGCGTTAGTGGTGCTGGTGGAGGTGTTAGTTGTAGTGATGGTGTTAGGTGTGGTGGCGATGGTGTGTGTGTTGCCGTGGTGATGGTGTTAGGTGTTGTGGCTCTGTTGTGATTGTGGTGGAAGCGTTCTGGTTGATTGTAGTGGTAGTAGTGGTTGTGATGAGAACAGTTGCAATGGTGGTGATCATTGCGTTTGATGAGAAGTCAGTGGTGGTGGGAGTGCTCCGGTGATGGTGTAGAAACTAATTTTTGTATGATTATTTTCCACCACAGACGTGGCCACACATTTACAGAGGTAAGCGACATATATACATTTTCTTCTGTCCTTAATGGACAGTGTTAGTGATCTGTGAGACATACGGATCAGTGATTTATTGAGCAATCAACCACAAAAGGAGATTAAAGTGCTTTTACAATGCTAACTAACATATATAAATATATATATTTGCGTCTGTCCTACATAAACAGTGTTCAAGGTATGTTCTTTTACACATATTGGGATTAATGTGCGTTTACAAAGGTGAAATGCAATTCTGACCGTTTGGGACGCCATTTTGACCAACTGGGACGCCATTCTGTCCAGCTGGGACGCCATTCTGATCAGCTGGGACGTCATTTTGACCAGCTGGGACGTCATTTTGACCAGCTGGGACGTCATTTTGACCAGATGGGACGCCATTCTGACCAGCTGGGACGCCATTCTGACCAGCTTGGACGCCATTCTGACCAGCTGGGACGCCATTCTGACCAGCTGGGACGCCATTCTGACCAGCTGGGACGCCATTCTGATCAGCTGGGACGCCATTTTGACCAGCTAGGACATCATTTTGACCAGCTGGGACGCCATTTTGACCAGCTGGGACGCCATTCTGACCAGCTGGGATGCCATTTTGACCAGCTGGGACGCTATTCTGACCAGCTGGGACGCCATTCTGACCAGCTGGGACGCCATTTTGACCAGCTGGGACGCCATTTTGACCAGCTGGGACGCCATTTTGACCATCTGGGACGCCATTCTGACCAGACAGAAAGTGGTGATGGTGGACAGACTCGACCAGACCAGAAGACAAACGCCAGTTTTCACACAAATAAAAACATCCACACACACAGACAAACACAGAATCTCATGAATATATTTTAAAGCCACAGTGCTGTGTTTCACTACCAGGGATCAAGGAGAATTCTTTTTTTACTTGACATTTTAAGCTTTCCGGAGTTAGGAAGTGAGCATTCCGGTTTAAAACTCGCTCTATATTCAATTCTTAAAACTGGATGTTCAAATAATGTACAAAATTTAGCATTGTCATAACATTGAACGTAAAGGCTAAACCCGCCAAACACACACCGAAACTACAACGTTGGTACAACGTTCGAACAAGTTTTAACACCTCCTAACCAGTTATAACAACCAATATAGCAAGTTGTAACAACGTTCTAATACGTCATAAACACGTTAAGCCAAAATGTAACAACTTTATTACAAGTTATAACAAGCGGAAAATAGAGACAGTTTCGGTTTGTGTTTCAAGGGAATTCATTAAACTATTGATGTAATTAAAGAACTATCTCAAGTTGAATAGCTTAACTTCGTTCCAGTGACGCCATATTCGTTGAATATGGCGCCCGCCCACCAAGTAGTGTGGAAGTAACTGGAGTATGACCTTCCACCCACGGTGGAATGTCATATTCGTCCTGCACATAGTGAGCGTGTTGACCAGTCAGCAAGTGTTGACCTTAGACATTAATGCTTTCTTTCTTGTTTTTTTTATTATTATTATTATTTTCTACCACAGACGTGGCCACACATTTACAATGCTAACCAGCATATATACATTTTCTTCTGTCCTCCATGGACAGGGTTAGAGATGTGTTAAACATATAGTTCAGGGATTTATTGAACACTTTCTTGCTTACCGGTAAATTGTATTTTAGCGCCCATGTGGCAATGTGAAGTAAAATACGAAGTCTTCCATAAAGAAATCTTTAGGGTATGGACGGTCAGTCCGATCATTAAAAAGTGCATTAATTTACAAAAGATGAAATATCAGAACAAATCTAGTGAAAGTTGGTTGTCAATAAACTTAGAATACCAACTTTTGCCGGAGTCGATTATCGGGCAGTATTACCTCTCTCATCCCGGCATCAGCTCTATCCTCCCATCTTAAGGATGCTGATCATCTAAGATGGGAGATGGGTTCTAAGTTTCAAGGTTGTCTTAGATGTTTCTTGAATTAGTCTCTTACATCGTAGCAAATAAAAACAACAAACTTTCCACTGAGGATATTGGGTTGTTTACAACTCTTTCGAGTTGTAAACTCGAATGAGTTTACAACTCGAGTTGTAAGTAAACTTACAATTCATTTACTATTTCCTCACCTCACCATTCCTCTCCGTCTGAAGAATTATATATTGTTTCCAAAACCATAAAATTATATTTATCGAGACAAAACCTTGTCGTGTGTCTGTAATCTATTATGAACAATTTAATCCGGAAAATTAGACCATTATTTTAACACAGAAATGAAGCTTTCATTCTATTACGAGTTATTTTTTTAATTGGATTCAGGGAACTGCATTTCCAACTTCAGACAGGATATTACCGAATTTTTCCATGTTGTTCAGATCGTCTCCAGAACGGAATGAATCCCGAAAATCTAAATAAATCCAGGAATAATGATCTTTGTTGAGCTTAATGACTCATGATCTCTGTTGAGCTTAATGACTCATGATCTCTGTTGAGCTTATTGACTCATGATCTCTGTTGAGCTTAATGACTCATGATCTCTGTTGAGCTTATTGACTCATGATCTCTGTTGAGCTTAATGACTCATGATCTATGTTGAGCTTAATGACTCATGATCTCTGTTGAGCTTAATGACTCATGATCTCTGTTGACCTTAATGACTCATGATCTCTGTTGACCTTAATGACTCATGATCTATGTTGAGCTTAATGACTCATGATCTCTGTTGAGATTATTGACTCATGATCTCTGTTGAGATTATTGACTTATGATCTCTGTTGACCTATTGACAGTAACAATGGTAACAGTAAAATATCTTATAGAGACACAGAAAATCTCACTAACGTGATATACACGAACGAGAAAATCTTCCAGGGTTTTGAGGCGACGCGAACCTTCGACCAAACTATTGCCAGCCGCCTAATAAAACCAGATAACGTGGCAGAAACACCGATTAAGCACAAGCAACGTTTCTCCTCTTCCCATTGACCCTCATCACGGTGGAAACATGAAATCATAAAACAACATGATAATATTTAAACCGAAGAGATGAGACAGGATGAATAGACAAGAGAGAGATGAACCAACTCACCTCTCCAGGCTCATGATGGTCAAGGTGAGGACGGAGCACACTGAGGACACACTCTGCATGTAGTAGATCAACTTGCACAGCGGGTAACCCATGGTCCAGGAGTAGGAGAAGAGCCGTGCTATCTGTCAGGCAAGGAAATAAAACGTATGATTAATAACTCATCCGTGGACTGGAATGCATGTGATGGGGGTTCGTGACCCTCGTCTCTGAAGGGGCGGAAGGAATATGGGATGTTTGTGGTAACAATCTATTATTATTTGTAGTGACAAACTATTATTATTTGTAGTAAAAACAAATCACAATCTATTATTATTATTTGAACTTAAATAATAGCAATAACAAACTATTAATTATTTGTGGGAACTAGAATACCTTGTTTTGGTCTGAGGGTTTTTAAACCTTTCAATCATAAGGGTTATTAATGCCTCCACAATAGTTGACTGACCTTCTGGCAAGTATTCTTAAGTCGTGAACATAGTTCAGGACTTATACTCTCTGTATACTTTAGGATATACAGGATATACACCTTTTCATGTATATATCCAGTCTCCAGCATAATTTTCAGTTGGACCAAACTGTCCTAGACGTGATATTGACCAGACCACACACTAGAAGGTGAAGGGACGACGACGTTTCGGTCCGTCCTGGACCATTCTCAGGTCGATTGTGATGAGGAAGTAGAGACAGGCAATAAATAGGCAAGAGAGAGCTGAGGAGAAAAGTAAGATGTAGTATATAAATAAATATATATCACTAGACGTGATATATATTTATTTATATAATTACATTATATATATATATATATTTTGAGACGAGATGAGACAGGGACAGATGCACATTTATATTAATGTATTATTTAATTTTTTTTTACATTTACATTAAATTATTTACATTTATTTTATTACATTTATTTGCATTATTTATATTATTTTTATTTAGTATTGGCATTGTTCTTTAATAATATTGCAACTCTCTTAATTGCTATTATTAATTGGTAAATTATGCCTTTATAACTCATTACTTGTGAGCTATAAGGGTTGTGGTCACCATTTTGTGCAATTAAACATTAATTTTCGCATTTCTTTCATTTTTCTTCTGACTGTTGTGGTTGGCAACCTGTTGATAAAGTATGTTGCACGAAATTGCGTTTTTTTCGATGAAACAAAAGTAGAAGTCAATGTGTCAGTGTCAATGTGTCCGTGTCAATGTGTCCGTGTCAATGTGTCCGTGTCAATGTGTCCGTGGCAATGTGTCCGTGTCATTGTGTCCGTGTCAATGTGTCCGTGTCAATGTCTCCGTGTCAATGTGTCCGTGTCATTGTGTCCGTGTCATTGTGTACGTGTCATTGTGTCCGTGTCAATGTGTCCGTGTCAATGTGTCCGTGTCAATGTGTCCGTGTCAATGTGTCCGTGTCATTGTGTCCGTGTCAATGTGTCCGTGTCAATGTGTCCGTGTCAATGTGTCCGTGTCAATGTGTCCGTGTCAATGTGTCCGTGTCAATGTGTCCGTGTCAATGTGTCCGTGTCAATGTGTCCGTGTCCATGTGTCCGTGTCATTGTGTCCGTGTCAATGTGTCCGTGTCATTGTGTCCGTGTCATTGTGTCCGTGTCAATGTGTCCGTGTCCATGTGTCCGTGTCATTGTGTCCGTGTCAATGTGTCCGTGTCCATGTGTCCGTGTCATTGTGTCCGTGGCAATGTGTCCGTGTCAATGTGTCCGTGTCAATGTGTCCGTGTCATTGTGTCCGTATCATTGTGTCCGTATCCATGTGTCCGTGTCAATGTGTCCGTGTCATTGTGTCCGTGTCATTGTGTCCGTGCCATTGTGTCCGTGTCAATGTGTCCGTGTCCATGTGTCCGTGTCAATGTGTCCGTATCATTGTGTCCGTGTCCATGTGTCCGTGTCAATGTGTCCGTATCATTGTGTCCGTGTCCATGTGTCCGTGTCCATGTGTCCGTGTCAATGTGTCCGTGTCCATGTGTCCGTGTCAATAAAAGATTTATACAGTTGTCAAATTTCACATATCCTTTTTTGGTGTGTTTTTAGTAAGTAATAAAGTTGAAGGAGATGACTCGGCAATGTATTTTATGAACGTTGACATGTATGCGCACACAGCAGCCACATGTATACTCACACGCCAGCCACATGTATGCGCACACAGCAGCCACATGTATACTCACACGCCAGCCACATGTATGCGCACACAGCAGCCACATGTATACTCACACGCCAGCCACATGTATGCGCACACAGCAGCCACATGTATACTCACACGCCAGCCACATGTATGCGCACACAGCAGCCACATGTATACTCACACGCCAGCCACATGTATGCGCACACAGCAGCCACATGTATACTCACACGCCAGCCACATGTATGCGCACACAGCAGCCACATGTATACTCACACGCCAGCCACATGTATGCGCACACAGCAGCCACATGTATACGTATACACCAGCCACATGGATACACACACGCCAGCCACATGTATGCGCACACAGCGGCCACATATATACTCACACACCAGCCAAATATCCTGGCGCCCTAAAATGTCTGTAACGCGACACACGTGTTAGATCTGACTCAAGTAACACAAGATTTATAACAATATACCTAAAAGGGGGCATATACCTGTGCCCTTTGCTCTGGGATATTTTACATAAGGGAGTTTATAATAAATTTTGACTAGTGTAATATTGTATGAGTTATGGGATAGTTCGTGTTTAGTCTCATATTAGGAGGACGTTTGGTGTCACTTGTGTGATAACTTGTAATCTTGTCTAGAGTATGTTGGATAACTGGGCTCAGTTTTGAAGCTAGTTTGCCCTCACTAGCTTGATAACTAGTCTGTTCACTTGCTCGTTCACTTGGTTAGTAAATAGCTTTATCACTAGATAAGTCAATATTTTGACTAAATGTTCAGACATGTTCAGTATCTTGTTCACCTGCCTTGCGAACAGCTCACTTGAACCTACAGTCACTCAAGTGTTAATCTGTTTGTTCACTCGACGCTAAAGTATTCATAAACTTACTCCTTTCCTGGTACAATTATTATTTGTTTAATCATTCACCCATTACTCATTTAGTCTCCGTGGTGTAGTGGTAAGACACTCGCCTGGCGTTCCGCGAGCACTTTGTCATGGGTTCGTATCCTGGCCGGGGAGGATTTACTGGGCGCAAATCTTTAACTGTAGCCTCTGTTTAACCCAACAGTAAAATGTGTACTTGGTTGTAACAACGATTCTTCGCGGCGGGGATCGTATTCCAGGGACCTGCCCGAAACGCTACGCGTACTAGTGGCTGTACAAGAATGTAACAACTCTTGTATATATCTCAAAAAAAAAAAAAAATAAGCACCAATTCATTAAGCCATTCCATTACATCAGACACTTTTTCCTCATTAATCTGTTGACACTTCTGCCAGTTCCTTCAATTTCTGTAAAATCGTGAACATAACGAAGCTAATCTCTGAACATTTTATTCAAAACAATGTTTTCTATTGTTATGTTCAAAACATAGAAGCTTATTGTGATGGTATCAATAGCATGACTCATCTCTTTTATATTGAGACATAAAATGTGTTGTAATTAAACTGGTGTGTTCGTTTGAGTACTCAGCTAGTTGTGCTTGCGGTGGTTGAGCTCTGGCTCTTAGATGTACAGGTTCCTGAGCCTACTGGACTCTATCATATCTACATTTGAAACTGTGTATGGAGTCAGCCTTCCCCGCATCACTGCCTAATGCATACCATCTGTTAACTACTCTGACACTGAAAAAGTTCTTTCTAACGTCCCTGTGGCTCATGTGGGTACTCAGTTTCAATCTGTGTCCCCTTGTTCACGTTCCACTCCATGTTAAACAGTTTATCTTTATCTACCCTGACAATTCCTCTAAAAATTGTGTAGGTGGTGATCATGTCGCCCCTTAGTCTTCTGTCTTCCAGTGTCGTGAGGTGCATTTCCCGCAGCCTTTCCTCTTAACTCATGCCTCTTAGTTCTGGGACTAGCCTAGTGGCATATCTCTGAACTTTTTCCAGCTTCGTCTTGTGCTTGACAAGGTACGGGCTCCATGCTGGGGCCGCATACTCCAGGATTGGTCTTACATATGTGGTATACAAGATTCTGAATGATTCCTTGCACAGATTCCTGAACGCTGTTCTGATGTTAGCTAGCCTTGCATACGCCGCAGATGTTATTCTTTTTATGTGGGCTTCAGGAGACTTGTTTGGTGTTATATCAACTCCTAGATCTTTCTCTCTGTCCGTTTCATGAAGTACTCTATGTCCCATTCGGTATCCTGTGTCTGGCTTCCTGTTTCCACTGCCTAGTTTCATTACCTTACATTTACTCCGGTTCAACTTAAGTAGCCATTTGTTGGGCCATTCATTCAGTCTGGCTAGGTCATCTTGTAGCCTCATACTATCTCCCTCCGTCTTAATCCTCCTCGTAATTTTTGCATCATCGGCAAACATTGAGAGAAATGATTCTATACCCTCTGGGAGATCATTTACATATTTCAGAAACAGTATAGGTCTAAAGACTGACCCCTGCGGGACTCCACTTGTAACGTCTCGCCAGTCTGAGGTTTCACCCCTTACAGTGACTCGCTGTCTTCTGTTACTTAGGTAGTCCCTTATTCAAAGGAGTACCTTCCCTTTCACTTCTGCTCGCATCTCCAGCTTTTGCTCTAATCTCTTGTGTGTTACTGTGTGAAAGGCTTTCTGGCAATCCAAGAATATGCAGTCTGCCCACCCCACTCCATTTTGCCTGATTTTTGTTGCCTGATCGTAGAATTCAATTAATCCTGTGAGGCATGACTTGCCATCCCTATTCCCATGTAGACGTTGTCACAAAGTTCCTTCGCTCCAGATGTTCCACGAGCTTTTTGCGCACAATCTTCTCCATCAACGTGCATGTATGTAAGTTAGGGACACTGACCTTTATTTCAGTGCCTCCTGTCTATCCCCTTTCTTGTATATCAGGCCTACATTTGCCGTCTTCCAAATTTCTGCCAGTTCACCTGTTACCAGTGATTTGTTATACACCCTAGAGAGTGGCAGGCACAGTGCTCATGCTCCTTCCTTTATTATCCATGGTGATATTCCAT